GTGCCACAGGTGGCACACACCAGCCATTTGTGCCGGCATGCCAGCTATGGGCAAACGTACTGGGCATGCACACGCCTCACCGCTGATTTTCGGCCTCCCAGAGGCTTGAGGAAGGCTTCTGCAGGCTTTGCAGGCCGAAAATTAGCCCCATTTCATCCTTTCCTGTTTTTCCGGAAGTACCGGAAGGGATAAAACGGGCCTAGTTTTAAGCCTGCAGAAGCCTCCCTCAAGCCTCTGGGCGGCCAAAAAAGTCCTCAACCCGGCCGAAAATCAGCTGTGAAGCCCAGTGCAAGTAAGGGGGCGGGGGTGGGTGGGGGTGGATTACGCACGCATGCATAGGGGGCGTGTGGGGTGGGACGTGCATTGCCTTCTGGGTGCTGGTACGCGAGTGTGAGCATGCAAGCCCGTGCACAATTTTAGGCACAGGAGCCCCAAAAGGTTAGCCACCACTGTGCTAAGCTGTATCCCTTATTGCTCCTGGCCTATAGACGGACTCTTGCCAAACTAAAGCAAGCTACTTGTATCATTCAAGATAAAAACGCAGGCCTGATGCCATCCGACGTCGCAAAGGCCCATAAGAGTTGGCACTTTAAATCTGGCTCCTAAGGGAACACACACAAACACACACACACACACACATACAAGTAGGTCTCTGGGAACTTTGAAGGGTTGCTATGGGATTGGACACACGTGCCAGTATTGAACAATTTTTTTTATTGATTTGTCTCTTGCCTTTATTATTTCGCAAATAACTCAAGGAGTCAAGCATCTACAGCACACCTTCCTTCTCCCAGTTTCCCCCACAACAACAGCAACCTGGGGAGGCGGGTTGGGCTGAGAGAGAATGGCCTGAAGTCCAAGATGGCTTTCATGGTTAAGGCGGTACTAGGACTTACTGTCTCCTGGTGATTGGCTCAAAATTACCCAGTTGGCTTTCAGGCCTAAAGCAGGACTAGAACTCAACCTCTCCCATTTGATAGCCTGGTGCTTGAACCACTGGACCGAACTGACTTTTTGTAAAGAGCCTCATCTCTGCATTTTGCCTGGTGCTACTTCTCTTGTGGAAGCTACAAGGCCTTTATGTGACATCTATTGTTTTGGCCTGTTGGCCACTGGGCCAAATAGGAGGAGGGGGGGGAGGAGGAGGAGTCAGGGTCAGCACTGGGAGCCCCGAGGAGGAAGAGGGAATGGAGCTGGCAGAAAAGAGAGAGAGAGAGAGGCAGAGTCTGGGCCGTCCATCAGCCCTCAGGTGGTGAGTCAACAGCCCCCAGGTCTGGAAGTGGCTGATGAGGAAGAGGAGGAACAGCCGAGTCCAGTGCCTGACGCGCAGATGCACAGATGGGAGAGGAGAGGAGAGCAGTGAAAATCTATGGGCCGGTCCTTGGGACGGAAGAGCCACCGCTGCCAGCAAGACTCTGGGGGAATCAAAGGCAGTGGGGGGGCGGAGATGAACAGGGGTGGCAGACAACCATTCATCTCCCTGCCAGACAGACTTGTCAGCCTGCGGTGAGAGAGAAACGTTTTGCCGAGGCCGCCGGCGCTCCTAAGAAAGGAATCATTGAGGTCACGTCAGAGGGTTTGTCGTGTTTGGGGAGCTGGGTGAGAACGTCTACAAGCTCGATTTACTCGATGCTCTTGCTTTTTCAGAGAAGACCTCCCACACGTACACACACACACACACACACACACTTTTTCCTCTCCCCTGGGGTCCTCTCCACTCAACCTCAGTGGCTGGGGTCTCCTCAACCAAACCGCTTCTCTCTGTCCTGCAGAACCGCAGAGCATGCCGCTGCTGGCCAGGTCTCCCAGCACCAACCGGAAGTACCCGCCGCTGCCTGTGGATAAGCTGGAGGAGGACATTAACCGGCGAATGGCAGACGACAACAAGCTCTTCCGCGAGGAATTCAGTGTGGGTACTTGGCTGACCTTTGACCTCATTTTACACACACACACAAACACACGCACACACACAAATCCCTTGGTCATTCTGGGTTTTGAAATGGTTTTTTATTTTATTTTTAAAAAAACTTATCGTGATGGAAATTCAGTTTATGCTAGTTAGATCATCTTCTACATAGAAATCTTTCTTTCTTTCCTGTCTTCCTTCCTTCCTTCCTTCCTTTTCTTTCCTTTTCTTTCCTTCCTTCCCTTCCTTTTCTTTCTTTTTTCCTTCCTTCCTTCCTTCCTTTTCTTTTGTTTCTTCCTTTGTTTCTTTCTGTCCTTCCTTTCTTTCCCTTCCTTCCTTTCTCCTTTCTA